TAGAACATTCCTTGGGGTGGGCAGGCTGGTCGAAGACCTCCTGTTTAGAACATTCCTTGAAGTGGGCAAGTGTGAAGACCAAAACCCACCATGAATAAGGCCCTCGGGCTGGGCGATCGCTTGTTTAGAACATTCCTTGGGGTGGGTAGGCTGGTCGAAGACCTCCTGTTTAGAACATTCCTAAGGGTGGGCAAGTGTGAAGATCAAAACCCACCATGAATAAGGCCATCGGGCTGGGTGGTCGCTTGTTTAGAACATTCCTTGGGGTGGGCAGGCTGGTCGAAGACCTCATGTTTAGAACATTCCTTGGGGTGAACAAGTGTGAAGACCAAAGGGAGACCACATAACCGGGTGGGGAAACACGAAGGCATGAGCACTAGGACGGGTGCAACTTCAAGATTGGAAAGTGAACACGAAAACATGGGTATAGAAGAGAAGTCCAACGGTGCAGAAAACCCGTCATGATTAAGGCCATGAGGCTGGACGGTCGCATGCGTCGACCACCTTCAAGGGTGGGCATGTGTTCGAAAATTCAAAATCCATCATGTATAAGGCCACGAGGCTGGACGGTCGCATGCTTCGACCACCTCCAGGGGTGGGCATGTGTTTAAAAATTTAAAAAAACCCGTCATGTTTAAGGCCATGAGGCTGGACGGTCGCATGCTTCGACCACCTCCAGGGGTGGGCATGTGTTTAAAAATTTAAAACCCGTCATGTTTAAGGTCATGAGGCTGGACGGTCGCACGCTTCGACCACCTCCAGGGGTGGGCATGTGTTTAAAAATTTAAAACCCGTCGTGTTCAAGGCCACGAGGCCGGACGATCGTATGTCTCGACCACCCCCAAGGGTGGGCAAGTGTATACGTGTGTACGATAAGATTAAGCTATCTAAGTGGTCGCAAGGTGCCATAATGAAGATATCAAGTCAGAATCACCAATAAGCATTATTGAAGATCAAAACAAGTTAAAAACAAAACATTTCTATTTCGAGATTATTACAAAACCCGTTAAAGTACATAGTTTGAATTCAAGAAAGATAAAGTGAAAAATACAACGCTAAGATGGAGGAGCAGCGACGGAGTCAGCGTTGCTCGAGCTGGCATTAGGATCGGGATGGTGACTGGTTCCAGAGGTCGAGTCGCAGGCTTCATTAAGTGGGCGTCGTTTGATAGACTCCGCCGTTGCGATCAACATAGAAGTCGGAGGAGTAACGCCATCGGGCAAAGCGAATGTTTTCTTTAGCACGTCCGATCGAGACAAGGTTCTCTCGAGTTGCCCTGACCACCATTCATGCTGGTCATTCATGCTCGAGTGGCAGGGAAGGGTCCCCGCAGAAGCTCGAGGGCACTTTGGGCAAAGCATCCCAAATAGCCACGGGGTCGAGCTGCTCGAAATCGTTCTCAGCGATCTGCTCCCCGGCCTTTTGCAGGGCAAACTGAAAGCAGTCCACCCCGAAATCTTGCAACTCCTTCAGATACTGCGGCGACTGCATGAAGTCAGCCACCACTTGTGCGCGATGCTCACGGAGGAAGAGCTGCCCCGTTGTGGTCGCCCAGAGCATCTGCCTTGCTCGAAGAGCAGTGGCATTTGCATAGCGTTGCTTCTGGTCGGCATAGGCAGCCCTCTCTTTGGCCACAAGGGCCTCCAGATCTGCCCGAGCCTTATCTGCTTCAGCTCGAGCCTTCTCCGCCTCTGCTCGAGCATGTTCTGCCTCAGCACGAGCCTTTTCTGCTCCAGCTCGAGCAACCCGTTCTTGCTCCAGTAGAGCCTCCCTTTCTTTCAGGGCGGCCTCTTTTTCCGCCACTGCGGCTTCCTTGGCCGCGAGAGCAGCATCTCTCTCAGCAAGAGCCTTTCCTTTATTACTGAGCTCTTCGTCGAGAGATCTAATCTTGACGTCGAACTCAGTCTTCTGTTCTATTTGCGTCTCGTGGAGTTTGGTATTATGCTGCAGGAGGGTTGAATTTTTATCCTGCAGATAGCCGATGGTGCTCTCGAGACCTTTGATCGACTTGCCCGAGCTGTCCCGAGCTTCCTTGGCCAGAGGCAAAAAATCAACCAAGACCTATCAACAAAGAAGACAAGGCAATTCAACGTATGTATCGACAAAGAAAAATGAGAAGAACCAATGTAGAGTAGAGGAGTAATACCTGAGCAAACCACTGCACGAGTTTATCGCCAACCTCGGGCAGGGTGATGCTGGCTTTTTTGCGATCATCCTCGAGGAGGGCACCCTCGAGGCGGTCGGCCACCTCATTAGCGGAGGCCGACAAGAGAGAGGTCGGTTTTGGGGCTAACGGATCAGGAGGAAGATAGCCAGTGCGCCCCCGCTTGACAACGACCTCGCTTTGCTCAGTTCGAGGGCGTTTGCCCAAGACTGACTCGCGCCCCCCGTCATCACGATTTCCGGATTCGACCAGAGCTTTGGTCGATACGACAAGAGTGGTTTTGGAAGATTGGTGGGTGAGGGGCAGTTTTTCTTGGGTTTTGGTTTTGGAGGATGTGTTAGGTTCGGAGGCTTTATCGACAGTTCTGCCTTGAAGGTTGGCTTTGGGCGGGGAGTTTCATGGACCTGTCTTCTAATGGCGGCTGTCGGCTTTCTGATGGCGGTCGACGGTTCTTTGACGATCACTGGTCTTAGGTTTGTGATCGACGGTTTTCGAAAAGTTTGAGGATTTTGTGGTCGATTGAGAGGCGGATGGGTGCTGTTGCTGCTGGTGTTTGGGCGGAAAGGGCTGCTGTGACTGGTGTGGTTGCTGTTG